TCTGGACCCAGCCAATCCAACCAGTTTTTAAACCAGCAAAGAATGCACCTGTCCAAGCCATGGGCTGCAGCTTTTCCAGAATGCTGTAGGAGACAGTAGACTACATCCACAGCCTTTCCCTCATCCTCTAGGTGGATCACCTGGTCATAGGAGATCAGGTTGGTCAGGCAGGACCCACCTTTCCTAAACACACACTGGCTTGACCTGACCTCCTGGTTGTCCTATACATGAGTCCTAGATATTAGGGACCAAATGTACTGGCCATACTGGAGGGCTTCTGTTTCTGCATCGTTCAAGCTTTCAAGCAAATATGCCATGGGTCTGTGTCGATCCCTCATCTAATAATCTTTTAATGCTGTGAAGAAAACACTCTCATCATTCTGGCTGACCCACAGAGGTCATAGAAGGTGTCCTGGTGATACCTGGAAAACCTGAGTGTCTGGCTGAGCAAGAGGTGCTCACAAATACACACAGGTGACTGCAGGGCAGATGTTTCAGCATCAATCACTTCTGTCAGCCTAGGAATGACACTGCTGGATGGGGCAGAAGCTCAAGATACATTTTTTTGGGGCCCTTGCAAAACCTCAAGAGACCCTCTTGCTTTCTTACTGTAAAACACTAGTGCTGAAAATTTCTTACTAGGTTAAAACAATCTTGAAAGCCTGAAAAAAGTGCCACCTTGGCTTTTTTTTAAATTGCTGGTTTTCGCTTTCAAGACTTTTTTTTTTTTATCTAGCAAAAACTGCAGGGGCAATGGGAATGGGGACAGACCTACACAGACCTGCTGGACCCTCTCCCAGGTGAGAGCTTCAAACAGCCAGAGCTGACCAGTTCCCCCCACCCCATTCTTCTTCCTTGCAGGTTTTCACACAGTCGGAACCACCTGACCTCTGCCCGCTGACACCCACATTCCCTGCTGCTGTCGTGAGGGGGGAAGGATTTTTTCCAGCTTCATAAGAACTACATCTCTAATCCAGACCACCATCTGCCGTTGGATGTGACATTGTGTGACGGACTCCAGGACATTTCAGAGCCTTCATGTTAGCCGTGTTTTCATGATAACCCAGGGTGGGGTTTGCGATGCAAGTACAATTTAGACCTTTTGCAGAACCTGACATGGGTGGTCTAATTGTTTTTACAATGTAATCAATGCAGTTTTTAATTGTTTCCCTATGGATGTGTCCATTTTGGCTTGGTTTGATTCACAGCTTGTTTCTGGTAAATGCCTGGCTGCTGGAAAAGAGGGAGATTTCTCTTCCACTGAGATGTGTTTCACAGGCGAGTCTGATGGGTTTTAGCCTCCTGTCCTTCCTAAAGAAGTGTTTGTGAGCAGTCATGTGTGAGTGCAGGGATGTTGGGAAGCTCTCCAGGCACTAGGGCCTCTGGGAGAGCGAGAGCAGCTCTCCAGTTGTTCTGGAGGATCACTTCAACCCCTTCACACACGAGTAACAAAACGCTTTCCAGAGCAGCAGCAGCTGAACTGATGCGCTGCCGCTCTTTCCCAGCCTGTTGTTTCACAGGAGGATGGGTTTGCTGACTGTACTTTTTTTTTTGGCTCTGGGACATCATTTTGTATTAGGCCTTGGTTCATCTACTTCAGGCAACAGCAGAACTTGCTGTCAGTCTCTGGGAACCAGAATGCAAAGTGGGTCCTTTTGCTGTGGGAGCTGGGGGGGTTCCTGTCCTTGGCGCTTTCAGCAGCAGAAGCAACCAGACAGGCAGGCTGGGCAGTGCTGGTCTCTGAGGTGAGCAGACACGCACTGTGCAGGCCCAAATGGGGCAGAAGGGTTAAGAAAGGGGAGTGGGTGGAACACAGCAGCCAAAGGCACTGGCAGGGCTTTGGTTCACAAAGCAGAGGGACACTGCGTTGCGGTTCTCAAGGCAACAACCCGTCCTCTACAGGAAGGCATAAACTGGATGGCTTGCAGCACTGTGGCAGGGCTGGGGGTTCCCAAAAGCTGCTCTAGGCATCCCCTTCTCAACCTTTCCTTTCTGGCTCCTCCTTCAGCCTGGGATCTGAACTCGCTGCAGCCAGGGCTCTGCTCCAGTTGACAAGCTGGGGTGGTGTTTGCTAGCAGAGCAATTAAAGCATCTGCTGTGTTGGTTGCTTAAGGTGTTCCAGCAGAGCCATCCCCAAGGGGCTTTGCTTTCTGTGTCATACTAGTTTATAAAGCAAATCTTTAATTCAGGTAAGCTCACGGATCTTAAATCTACACTTTAAAGGTCTAGAAAAACAGACTTAGGAAAATAACCCCTGATAGCTGGTTGCCTAGAGACCTGCCCTCTAATTGTGTAAAGATTCCCATGAAGTCAGCAAGACCTCAGTTATCCAGATCTTTCTGTCTGGGTCTTTGTGTGTGGATGATGTGGCTCACCCCAGAGCTGCTGAGAACAGAGGCTGGAGCTGTTCAGCTTTTTTCTTTAAAGACAGGCCACTTTGTTAGAAGCAAGGCTTGATTTTTGGTACTTGGATTCAGACCTGCAGATTTTAAGTGCTCAGGAGGACCATATGTTCCCTCATCCTGGTGTGCAGTGTTCACTTTAGCTTATGACTATCCTTTATTCTTCCTGATGGATAAATCCAGGCTCAGCAACACTATGAACCTGTCCCATAGAGCAGAGGTGCTGCTGTTGGGTTTTGCTGGATCTCTGCTGCAGAGCAGTGTTCTGCTGTGGTGTGAGCCAGCTCAGAGCCTGCAGTTAGGAAGAGCAGAACAAACCCATTTTTCCCTTAGGAGAAGTTAATGTATAGACAGGAAACTTGGAGAGGGGGAAGGTAGAGGCTGCAGGCCAACAGAAGGGCTCCTGCTGCTTTTAAAGTTGCTGTTCATGACGGTAGCAAACCACGTTGATAAGGTACCTGTATCGTTACTCACACTCTCTGCAGTGTAATGAGTAAACTTTTTAAAGGAAACAATCCCCACAACCTTTGTCCAGTACTCAAAGCAACAATGGGTTTAGTTTTTAAAAACGTTGAAAGGGATCTGCCACTTTCAATAAAGTAACAAAACAAATGAGGCTGGTGTAACTTTGTGTTATGAGGGGAGAAGGATTGGTTCCAGCTGCTTGTCTCTGCATCCTTCTTGGTCTTCCCCCACATCACCCAGGAGACAGACCCAAGTACTTTGTGTGCAAGGAGGAACTACAGCTGGAGGCACGTCTGTCCTTTCTGCTGCTGCTACAGGAAGTACACACTGCTTTGCAAAAGTGTGACTGTGTGTTGGGGAATGTGAGGTGCAGTTTTTGCTGGAGTCTGTTCATTATCTGCATTATTTAGACTCGACTGTAAAAGCTGACAGCAGGGTATCTCTGCCTTCCTCTGTCTCCCTTTGCAGCTGGGAGAGGGCCCAGGCAGTGGCACAGGTTGCCCAGGGATAATCTGCTGCCCAGACACAGCCCTGCTTGAGCAGGGGTTGGATCAGACACCCCTGAGAGTGTGACCTCAGGGACAGGAGGAACACTTTGGAGATGCCACTTTAGGCGTTTAAACCCTTGTGTGTGGCCATCCCTTCTCTGAACAGAGGTAAGAGAGGTAAAGGCCACAGCTGGGGCTGTGACCAAGCTCTGCAGTGCTGCTTCACCTTTTCCCCCTTGCAGCCAGGAAGGCAGACTGACAAATGTGCTTCTGACTCTGCTTTTTTGGGGGAGTTTTGCTAAATGCCCCGTGCTTGCACTCACCTCAGCTGAGCAGGCTGTGCCGAGACAGGGGTGGTGCAGCTGGGCAGGTTCAGCACAGCAGGTGGGGATGCAGAGCTGGGCAGGAGGGTGCAGCTCATATTTCGGTGGCTGATGGTCTGCCTTATATAATTAAAGTCTGACTGATCCTCCACCCTGCCCAGCAGAGTACTTGACTCCTGGCATGCCAGCCCTGCTCCACTGGCACCTCAGCAGTGCGAGTGCTGCCAGGCACGGAACACCCTGTGCCCACACACACTGCTGATGCTTCAGCAGAGGTAAAGCTGGTGTGGTGCAGCCAATATGAAAGAGGGAAGTGATTTCTCTGGTGAAACAGAGTCACTCCTGGGACAGGGAGAGAAGGTAGTAGTCACCAGAACAGCTCCAGTCTGTTGCATTAAACATGTGGTAGAAGTTACTGCAGGAACTCAGTTGTTCTGGTTTCTTAAGCAATGAAGCAAGACTGGGTTATCCCAGATGAAGGGCTAGCACGAGGAGGGAAAACTGGAAGTGCTGGGGTTGTTCAGCCTGGAGAAGGCTCTAGTGTGACAAAGGGGGAATGGCCTCACACTGACAGAGGGCAGCGTTAGATGGGATATTAGGAAGAAATTCTTGCTTGTGAGGGTGGTGAGGCCCTGGCACAGATTGCCCAGAGAAGCTGTGGCTGCCCCATCCCTGGAGATGTCCAAGGCCAGGTTGGACAGGGCTTGGAGCAACCTGGGGTAGTGGAAGGTGTCCCTGCTCATGGCAGGGGGCGTGGGTGGTGTGGGGGAGTGGAACTGGATGGTCTTTGAAATAGTGAGACCGTGGATCCTAAGCCATGTGGTCCCAAGTGCATCTCCCCTTTACGTACACCATGTGAGCAAGAAACCACTAAGCAAGGACCTGTTGTAATCTGTTCTTGCCTAATGGTCCTGTTAAGGACACTGCTCATGCTTGTAGCAAAGACAAAAAATCCTCCTGCAGAGTTCTGGAAAAGTAAAATATATCACAGCGTTGATATGCCGCTGAAATCCTTACCTCACTGAAAGCTCACCGAGGTGAGGGGTCTGCACTTTTGCCAGGAACAGCAAAGTTTTTGGCTTTTCTAGCCTGAGCTCCTGCTCTTTAAATGTGGAGACATTTGAGCTCAGTATTCCCAACCAAAGAAGCAATTTTTGCTGCCTGCTGTCCTTCCAGAAGCACTTGTTTCGGGGAGTCCCACCTCAGCACGTGACTCTGGATGGAGCAGCACTTGGTGCAGCGTGAGCCAAGAACCAGTCTTGGAAAACTGCTGAGTAACTTGAATATGGGATGGTGGGCTCAGGAATAAGAGGCTGAGAGAGTTTTATACCAAGATGCTATTTACTTTGAACAGTCATATTCAGCCACAGTATAACATCTAATCAATCCACATGAATACACCTACAACAGGTAATTAAAAAAATAATAAATGCAGATGCTAATAAATTAAGTACATTTAACTTAGATGGGACAATGGTCTTTGTGGCAGCGGTGGCAAAGGCTGGTTCTGCAGTCACTCCTCAAGGATGCAAATGCCAAGCAAGAAAAATCCCTCTGGATTCCCCCTCCCTGCAGTCCTCATCCCACATTTTTGACACCATAATGGAATGCACGTGCTGGCCTCTGTCCTTCCCGTTGTCACAGGGACCTCCACATTCCTGCATCCTCACGACATGCAACACTTTCCTTTTGCTTTCACTGCACCACTGCATTGTTCCTTCTGCTAGTACACAAACACTTTTCTATCTAATAATATAAAGCAGAGTCCCCAGAGCCCATCAAAGCCACGTCCAACGGCATCTTGTGGCACTTAGCGTGTATCGGTCCTTCCGTGGAGGCACCCACAGGTGACAGATTTACAAAAACAGAACGAGCTGCGAACTTTTCAGATTTAATACAGAGATTTAATAGAGTTCACAGACACTGATGCTCCATCTGGAATCCAGTGACTTTTATACCTTCAGGAGAAATAGAAGATGGATCCCACCCGAAATTGAAAGGCAAGAATAGGGATTTTCAGAAGTCTTTGCATGACAAAAGCGTAAGCATCGGTGACTTTCAGAGAGGCTTCTTCTCCTATAGTGCTCAAATGCCTTGAAAACGTCACCCACACCAGAGTGGAGAGTGAATGCCATCCTGTGCCTTACATAATTCCTACTACAGGACAAAGAAATGGGAGCTGGGATATGAGAATAGTGATTGAGTTCAGAGGAAAAACCATGCACCCCCTGCACCGACCCACAACACACCGACACCTTGACAGCTCAGCAGAGGTCCAGTTCTCCCGCTTCCCTGGGAAACTGCTGCCGTGGCAGCTCCTGAGGAGCAGAGCTGTTTTAGGAGAGCTGCAGATCCTGTTTGGAATGAACTGTGTGTAAGCTAACACACCTGTGCGTCCCCATAGGTCCGAGACGGCTGTGCCAGCAGGGTGACGTTGACAGCAGCAGGACGGGGCTGTGCAGCCAGGGACAGCGAGCACACAGGGCAGGTGATGTCTGGGAGAGGTGAGCGAGCCCTGGCACCCGCTGTTGTGAGCCACACCACCACTGGCAGCTGCTGGGTTTCTCCCATATATGCTGATCATCCAGTCAAAATGTGAAAACAAGGTGGCACCGGCCTTCAGGGCAGGTAAAGGTGTTACTGTACAGGTACAACGGAACAAGAACCCTCCCGTGAGGTGTGTGCACTGGAGCACTGCTGTTGTTGGGTTCTCTGTAAGTAGGTTCAACTGGAACAGACTTGACCCTCTTCCATACCATCGGGAAGTGATGTGCTCCCTGTCTGCAGCCCCCTCACTCCCACTTTCCATACCGGGGGAAACAGGCCTCCTTGAGTCTTTGCTTTATCAGCTCCAGAGGCTCCTGTTCCCACCTGCCTCTTTTGTTGGTGTTGCCAGCAGAGATCCAGCCCTGCCCTGTGTCAGTCAGTGTGACTGTCCTTCTCCTCCCTGGGAAGCAGCAGGCTTGACCTGGCTGGAGAGCTGGTGGCTCTCTTGATCACCTCCATCCACCTGCCAAGAAAGGACACGAGAAATGCTCAGCCCCTCACTCCCAGATAATCTTGTCCTTTGGTTGTGAGCTGTACCCCTTTCCCCAAACCTCCCAAAACAGACATTTTCTTTCTTTTACAAGTCTTTTAGGAAATTAACTCTTCAAATGAACAGCTTGAGATGTGGTAAATAGCCTGCAGAACATGGTTGCCTGTCCAAGTAACAGCTCTACAGTGCTCTGAGCTCCAGAGAACTCCCCTGAGAGCTCACCATGTTCTCCCCTCAGTGTTTATCAAAGACAACAAGCTGACAATAATTGCTGCTTTTCGTACAATAAATTAGGAATTAGGTAACAGCCTTACTCATGTGGAAGAAAGCAAAGGAACAGTGAAAAAAGCAGACAAACCTATTGTGAATGAGACATTTTTCCCTTGAAATTACTACATGAGCCCAGTGGATTAAAGAGCACAATTTATGGCTCAGATAACTGATACCTAAGCTGCTCTCAAGTGTGTGACACTCTCCCAGGGAAGGGGGACATATGTGACACCCACATTCCAAAGCAACCAATACGACCCTGCAGGGCAGGACCCAGTGCAAGGGTTTTCAACAGTTAATGTAACAGCAAAGCTTTGTATGTGATGCATTTGACACACAGTTTGGACCCTGTGTGGAAGCTCTTAAGAGCAATTAATTGTAATTATACAGAATAATAATAATAATAATTAAAAAATGTAATTACAGAGAAAGCAGCCAAGTGAAAGGCAGGCCTGGACTTGTTCTCAGCCTTGTTAAAAATCTCGTTTCCAGAGACTGAAGAGAAAAAAAAGTATCTTTCCAGAACCTGGAAATCTGACTCCCCAAGAGATGGTGGGGCTGAGCACCCCACAGCCCTTCCTCCCACGTGCCTCCCTGGCTCCAAGGAAGCCTCAGACTCCTGGCACAAAGTGCAGCTCACAGGTCTGGGTGCACCCTCAGCTCACCCCCAGGAGGGTTCTGGCAGAGAAGGGACCTCCAAATATCATCGGTGGGAAGAGAAAGGGAATGTTATTCCTGAGAATGTGCTGGAAGGTCACTCAGACTAGGAGGAAAGAGAGGTCTCAGGATGACCAACCACTGAGTTAACAGCAGGTTATACACCAGGACAGAGGAAACAGAAAATTACCTCTCAAAGGTGTATTTGCTCTCAGCCCGGAAGAAATACACGTGGGACTTGAACTGAAGCTTGAAGACATAATCCTTCTGAATCCCATCCGCCTCCACGGGGGAGCTGACCGTGTAGCCGAGCAGCGGGAGGCTGGCCAAGGGATAATCATCCTGGAAGAGCCCAAGAGCCCAGCCCTCAGTGCAAGGCCCCCCTGCCACACATGCAGGCACGCTTGTGTGGTGCACAGGTAAGGGCTGTGCACTTTAGTTTAGGGCATAACAGGAAGAGGAGCAGCCTGCCTCTCTTGCAAGGCCACCAACAGCTTATAATGAAACCTTCCCCCAGCTCCTTTCACTGCTTTTATAGAGTTATTTGCTTCTGTTCCCCTGCCCCTCGCTACTGCTTGGGCTCCCTCTTCCCTCTCTGCACCCTTTCTGTGGAACTCCAAGCACAGATCTGACACAAAAGGTAAAATAACGCTCCCAAATGAAATGTGCCCTGAAGGAGAGAAGCCAGAATAACCCAGCTGTTGGGTTAATAAACACAGTTTATTGGGTTAATAAGATGAGAAGGTTGAGCTGCAGCATGGTTTGTTATCAAGCAGGTGCTGAAAGCACCAGGGGCAGGAAAATCCCTGGAGCCTGTTGAGCTGAGCTGAAGCCCAGCAGGGAGAGAACTGGGCCAATACTGCCCAGAGGCTGCCAGGACCACCACCTCCTTTAGTCACTGCATGAGGAGACCCACAAAAGGTCAGTACCACCAGAACTGGAAATCCTGATTAAAATCCACAAGGAGGGCCCACAGCCTTTCAGAGACCGGTTTTATTATGAACTACCTCCCCTTCCACTCGTTACTCTGCTTCAAAGAGCAGTGAGCTGCCCCTGGAGCTGAAAGGCAAGGACCTCCAGGTGCCCCTGACACCATTCCCTCACCCACCCCTGCTCACCTGGTGTGTTTTGTAGAAAAACAAACAGAAGTTGGTGAAGACAACCCACAGTTTCTGCCAGCCGTTGCTGTTCTTGAACTTCCTCAGCAAATATCCAGAGAGTTGGTTCTAGCATAGAAGGAAAAGAAAACTGCTGTGAGACCACAGGCTGCCATCCTGCTGCAGGTAAACAGCCCTTGCATCAACTGCTCCTGCACTTGCTCCCCAGTGTAAAAGGCCTCCCAGGTATGGTGACAGCCACCAGGGTCCATCCCTTCAGCCACCCTTTCTTACGTGCAGAAAACCCCCGTGGAACACTCTGTGTGAGAAGGGAAATAAAGCAGGAGAGGAAACAGAGAGTGGTAGAGCTGGGGACAAGTGACATGTGGCAGCTACGCAAAGCCAAGCCAGCATGGAAGGGGCTGCAGGGAGGGGAACACCACTGCCTTGGCATCAGTCAGGGGGATGAGGAAACCCACACCACGGAATGACAGCACAGGGATTTTGTGATCTGAGAAACAGACAGGATACACTGCAGATTCACACAGAGAACCATTTTGTGAGGCATAAACAGAAGGAAATCCTGTCTCTACACGGCGATAGTACAACTCTGCTGCTGAGGACGAGGATCCTCACGCCAGCAAGTGAGCAGTTAGGAGTCAGGACATTTTTCTGGGCATCCCATGGCTCCTCCCCACCAGTGCAGAACGTGAGAGGCATCTTTACCTGGATCATGCACAGGTAATCAGACAGGGATAGGCTCTGGTTCCGGTACCAACAAACATGGGTGATTGTGTTGGGCCGTTGGGCCTGGCCCAGCAAATAGCGAGGAGGAAGCTCTGGAGAAACAGCAAGAGAGCAGAAAACTGAGCAGAGAAAGGGGGAGAGAAATAGAAAAACAGAACGTTAGGGTGAGAGAAGTGATGCAAGAAAGGCGACTGTTAAAGGAAAAAAGCTTGTGAAAAAAATGATGGTGTTAGAACATGGAACAGATCAAAGCAAGAGGGAGTGCAAGAACCCACACGGTCAATCCCAGAACCTCTAGCAGGGTGGGCTTGTTATCCAGACACAGAACTGTGAGATGGTGCCTTTCCCAAAGGTGTCAGCAGGGAAAGGCAGGCCTGTCCTCTCCAACAGAAATCACAACAGAAACCAGCTCCAGTGCCCAACTTCTGGACCCCAAGCCCAGGTCACATCTATAGCATTTCTCTTACTCAGCAGACCCACATGCACTCTGTATCAGGAAAACCCAGGAGCTCCAGTGGCCAAACTTTTAACTCCCTCTATTAAACCAGTTCCTCATGGGCGGGGCAGGGCAGGCAGGGACAGACAGCAGTGCCACAGCACACTGCCCCATTGCTTTTGTCTAAGTGAGCTCCTTTTTCTCTCCACAACATTTAGGTCCTTCCCACTTCTGGAAGCCTTCCAAGCATGCCAGCCTCCAGGAAGGTGTCCTACCTGCCAAACTGCTGCCTGAAGTGAAACCACAGAGGTGTGGCAAGCAGTGTAAGGAGTGCTGAACTGACCTGTCTTGAAATCTGCAGGATTCAGGATTCAGTACCCAAACATGCCACCAGTGCCACATTGTGCCACACCAAGATCCGAGGTACCAGCAGCTCACAGAATCAGAGGATCCCAGAATGGTTTGGGTTGGAAGGGACCTCAAAACTCATCTCGTTCCACCCCTCTGCCATGGGCAGGGACACCTCCCACTAAACCAAGTTGCTCAGAGCTCCATCCAGCCTGCTCTTGAACACCTCAGCAGGGACAAAATAAACAACTCTGCTCAGCATAACATGATGCTGCCATGAAAAGGCACTTGGCTGTTCAGTCCTGCCAGCAAGGGAAGGGCAGAGAAGGTGTATTCCCACTGAACTGAACTCCCTCTTCTTAATTGTGGGTGCAGTACACCAGCTAACCAGAGCTCAGTACAGCAGAGTCAATCTAAAGAGAAATATCATGGATAGGTAACTCATAGAATCACAGAACTATTAGGGTTGGAAAAGACCTCCAAGATCATCAAGTCCAACCTTTGACCAAATCCCACTAAACCATACAGTGAAGTGCCACATCCACACATTTTTTGAACACTTCCAGGGATGGTGACTCCACCACTGCTTCAGCAGCCTGTTCCCATGTTTAACCACCATTTCAGTGAAGAAATTTTCCCTAATATCCAATCTAAACCTCCCCTGGCACAACTTGAGGCTGTTTCTTCTTGTCCTGTCTCTTATTCCCTGGGAGCAGAGCCTGACTCCCCCTGGCTCCATCCTCCTGTCAGGGGATTGTAGAGAGTGAGAAGGTTCCCCCGGGGCCTCCTTTTCTCCAGGCTGAGCCTGCCCAGCTCCCTAAACTGCTTCTCATCAGACCTGTGCTCCAGACCCTTCCCCAGCTCCGCTGCCCTTCTCTGGACACGCTCCAGCCCCTCATCTTGTCATGAGGGGCCCAAAACTGAACCCAGGAGTCGAGGCGCCTCACCAGTGCCCAGCGCAGGGGGGATGGTCAAGTCCTCCAGCAAGGAGGATGAACCCAAAGGAACAACTCAGTCCTAGGACATCCTGGGTTTCCTTTCAGCTTTCCCTGCTCTGGTGCCTTTGCCGAAGCAAAGCCCTGCCGCACGGAGAGCGGAGCGTGAGTACGGACACACAGACAGGCACAGAGGGGACAAGCATGCGGTGGCATCTGATGGCCCGTGCCCTCCCTGGATACAGAAACGCTGCTGAGGAGGATTGGGAGATGGAGGCCGAGGCAGGAGGGACAGAGTGAGGCGAGCGCTGCCCCCGCGGTACCTCGACGGCCACACTGTGGTCAGTCATGGAGACGCTGGTGTTGCGGTACCAGCACACGTGCATGGTTGTGTTGGCACGGTGGTGACTCTGCCTGTCCAAGGAGCTACGAGAGGAGTGTATGTCATCTTCAGACTCCTGTTCTAGAGAGACCTCATCAGAGGATCCTGGGGGAGGAGAATTGGGCAGTGGTTTAAGAAAACTGTGCAGTACAAAGAGCAAGAGAAGCTGGGGTTCCTGAGAAAGGCTGTTTTCTCCTGCCACGGTCCAGTTTTAAATATGTCAAGTTGAACTGGTTACACAGCTCCTGTGCACACACTCTGAGCAGATCAATCTGACTTTTGCTACTCAGCTCTGCCTGGGGCAGCTGATTCATAGGATCACGGGATGGTTTGAGTTGGAAGGGATCTTAAATCTCATCTCTTTCCAACCCCCTGCCATGGGCAGGGACACCTTCCACTGGAATAAAATCACAGAATGGTTTGACTCAGTGCTGTGTTAAACAGAAATGACCACACTTGCTCTTGAGTCAGGAGGAACAGCACAGAGTGCTCCAGGAAGGGATACTCCATGTTTCAGCACAGCCATAACACCACCAGACAGGCACAGGAATATTGGGCTGTAAAAGCTGACCTCCAAAGACACCACTGTTTGGACAGAAAAAAATCACTACATAGGTAAATTGAGAAAAATCTATGCAAGAGATGAATAAGGACCTTATAAAACAATTCTGCAATAGGAGGATCTCTGCTGCATTTAAAGCTACTTTGAACACCAGTCTAGGAAGGCAAGTATATTTCTCTTGATTAAAACCAAAACCCCATTAACTCTCCATTACCATACGAATTATAAAAATACTTAATTTATGTCATCAAATTTGCAACGGGAAAGGTGAAAAGGACAGGACAACTGCTGCTTTCCAAGGAGGCAGGAAACATCACTTACTGTTGGAGCGGTTGCACACAGAGTTTTCCAGAAGCATCTCGGATTTCTCCGTAGATTTCTTGGCCATTTCAATTGCCACGTTTAGGTCTTCCATCCACTTCCCCATCTCCAGGCGGGTACTGCAAGAGAAGCAGTGGGGATGGGGATCCACCAGCCCAGAGCTGTGACTCAGTGCCCCTGTGCTGAAGGGAGGCACAGGTCACCACCCAAAACAAGGGGCAGTCCCTTTCCATTAGATAAATCAAAACAAAATTAGAATTCCTCCAAAGCAAGAGCTTTCCACAGAGCAAATTGACCTCACACAGCCTTCACCTCTATACTCAAGCCTTGAAATAAGACTAAAACAACCATTAAACACTTGGACTTTACAGCAAAGAGAACGAACAGACAGCTAGTGGGGCACAGAATATCCCCTCTGGAGCTTCTGGGCTCAGAAGAGGAATCAAACATTTTGAAGATGGAGGTGTATGAGCAATTATTTTCTTTTGAAGGACAAAAGGCAACCTGAAAGACATCCCATCTTCTAAAGGGATCTGACATCTCACACGAGTAAAACCCAGGGTGCAGGAAGAGGAGGCTTCCTTCACCTCTCACAGGTTCCATTACAGGATGAGAGATTCACAGCTCCTCAGTGTGTCTCTGTATCCATGGATATGCAACAGCAGAAGGTTTGCAATTAGACAAAGCCACATTTCTTTTTCTTTTGGTAACCATCTCTTTTTTTCTGAAAGCTTTTTATTTAGACTGAAAATTTCACACATGGTCTAAGCCCAGCAGCAATTTTTATTTCTGACAGGTAAACTTTGAGCTATTTCAAAGTTATGAACAATGTAAAAATTATCTTTATTTTTTCCAAATTTAAGAATCTGTCAAGCACCTAACGATTTGCAGCTGCTGAGAAATGGTTGATCTTTAAAAAAAAAAAAAGGACACTTTCAGTTATTAGGCTGGAACTAAAAAAAACACATCTGCATACCAAAAGTATTGGTTCCTGTGCCACTACACACTTGAACTGTGAAGATTCTGTAGTGGTTGTTTTTCAAGAACAGGTCATCAAGCAGTAAAAATCCCTGTGATCTAAGGTTGAGATTTAGTGCTCCCACCCTGTATCCTTAGCATTCCCAACTCCATCTGCCTTTTCAGCAGCTGGAACTGCAGGGGGGGTCTCACCTGAGCGGGGGCAGAGGGGCAGAATCCCCCTCCTCACCTGTTACCCAGGCTGTGGGGATCAGCCCAGGATAAACTACTCCTTCCCAAAACTCAACACTGAAAAAAGGAGTTGTGGAGAGTCCTGGGCTTATTTTGAAGTCCAGAGGGTGCAGGAAACACCCCCCTATAGCAGTGCATCAGTCAAGCAGTAACTTTCTGGAGAAGGAATCCCTCAAAGCCACAGGCAATTGAGGAAAACCAGGGTTACCTGGCTGCCACCACTATGGTTTTCTGTGCAGAATAGATGGTGAAGCAGTGTGGGACGGCCCATTCATTCTCACTCTCCTCCACCTGCAGAAAAAGAAAAGATTTTTCTCATCACTGCTCAGTAACCAATAAACACTAAAGCTGCCCTCCTTTGCTGGTTGGGATTGGAGACAAACCCGGTTGCAGGAAGTGCGGAACAGCTACTTTTTGAGGAAAACCACCTACTTCCAAGTTTATTTTGGCTCTACATTAAAATCTACTGTGTGGTTCTACTGCAGGAGCACAACACCACATCCAATAGGGCAGGGAAAGTGGTCAGAGTAGATCTGACTCATTACTTACCGGAGGGTCGAGCACTATCAGCTGCAAACCAAAGACAGAAAGAACAATCCCATGAGAACAGGGGATGGGGAGGCAGGAGGGCTGCTTACATGCCTAGGTGTGTGCAGGGGGGCAAAACACCAGGATAAATAAATCCCTATTTGCAGATCAGCCTCTCAGAGCAGTGTGAAAATGAACTGACAAGAGGGTGTGCTCCAGCTGTTTTGCTAATGTGGAAGGAACAGGCTCATCACCTGCAGACAAGGCTCTGTTTGACACATCTGAAGGTCCAATTGCTGTTGAGACCGACCTGGAAGCAGTTTGTGGCTTTGGTCCTTGTGCCCTGAAGAAATTCCTCAACCTACTCTAGGCAAAGCCATTTCCTTAACCCTGTGATGCAACTTGGAACCACTTACCAACATGCCATGCAGAGAGAGGTGTCCGTGGATTTTGAACTGATTTGTCCCCGTGACCCCTTTGCTTGTGTACAGTAACATATCTGAGAACTGGAAAGGCAAAAAGAGGACAATCAGTGCTCTGAAAGCAGCAGGCAGGGACAAGGATTTTTTGACATCTCCTTAAAAATCTGTTGTTTAAAGTCCACTGTAGATGCATGAAAAATGCCATTTCTCGGTCAGTTTGGCTGACTTTCCTTAAAACCACTCTTGTTTATTTACAGGAGAGGCAATTAAATTTTAAAATTCTGTTAAAACTCTGTGCCATTAAGGAACCAAGCTGACCAGACAGTAGTGCCACAGTCACACTCTCTAAACATCTCTCAGAGTAAGCTTTCAGTCTCAAGTGCTGATTTTTGACACAGGCACATGAAAACACACTTTCCCAACAACTTTATGTTGAAGACTTTGGGTTTATGAAAGCCAGAAGCAACACCCACCAGGAAGAACATCCGCTGCTGTAAGCCCTTCTTAGTGAGCTTGTACAAGCAACCTTCCCGAATAAACTCCTGCAGCAGAAAAGAGAAAGTTAGACAAAGCTTGGATCTTTCCCAAATAAAGAGAATTTTATTTTCATCCCAGAGTACACAGATGTTGATTGGTGCCCAGCAGTGATCCCTAACAGATTTGTTAAAGGCCAGATGACACTTTTCCTCCTTTTTTGTGGCATGAATCAGCTCCTTGCTGCAACCAGCATTTAAATCAGTGAAGGAAGAGAAAGGAAAGAAGCAGGATTCCTGTTGGACACCAGCAGTTCACCTATCACACTTACATCCCATCGCAGTGACTGCCATAGCATCCCCAAAGCACATGTGATGCTCCTGTACTTATGCCCAATACATCTATCAAAAACAAAGAAACAAAAAACCAGGCAGGAGCTACATGATTCCTGTAAAACAGAGACACCAGTTCAGCCCAGTGCCATGGCTCAACCATCCCTATGTTCCCACAGGCTGCACCAGCAGAGCTGGGAGTGGATTTCCAATCCAGTGCAACACAGCAGTTCCCACTGAAATAGAGAGCACCGTACCCAGTGTAACCAGTGTCTGTACTAGAAACACAGAACTGCAGCCAGAGTCTCAGCAGAAGCATTTTTGATCTATTCCTCAGGACATCACCAAGGTGGTGGTCCCATCATCCATGGGATTCACTATGAGACAGTTACACAAAGACCTTACACTCATCCCATAAACCAGAGGGGCAGCAATGGCAAATCCATGGTTCAAAGGCACTTCCTTGGCAATAAAACCAATAAAGGCTCTAAAAATGAAGCAGAGGCACCTACCCTGCCAGGTGCTGTGAGATTGTCTATCCCAATCAGGTCATGCTGCAGCTCTGTCAGCTTCTGGAAATTCTCCAGGCGGATAAGGCTGTTCTGCAGCTGTGATGTCATCTCTGTGACCTCCTTCAGCGCGTCTGTA